AGGGGGAAGGAGGCAGGAAGGAGGTGGGAGGAGGGGGAGCAAACCAACCCAAACTCGCCAGCAGCCCACAGCAGCACTGGGAGCCCGCAGGCCTTTCTCCATCGGTTACCGTATCCGACACCTGGAGCACAAGCAGAAGTCAGGCGCACATGGTTTATAAGGCGCTGCTGAAACACAACAGCCCCGAAGAGATTATCAGGTGCCTTATCCAGGGCCAGACTGACTCTAAACCCGCGGCGGCCCGTGTGGCCAAGCAACACCCCGGAGCCAGGAAACCTCGGACCCACACCCGGGCATTTGACATCCCAGGCACCGACTGCTGCTTCTGCCAGCCCAGCTACGAACCAGGCTGACTAACCCCGCTATCGCAACGCCCCGTCCCGCTGCCTCGCACCCGGTGGCAGGTCCTCCCAGGGTTACTGCTGGCCAGCAGCCGCTAACCTTCTCTGATATACAACACTTCTTGCCAGGCATAAATCACGAGGTTTGAGGGCAAAACGTTGAGTAGAACACACGGAATAGATCAGCGACCGCCTGTCTGCTCCAGCCGTTTGTCGCAGTGCAGAGCTAAGCCCCTTCCACGCCCTCCCAAACTACCAGCCCAGTTTCACACTCCCTCTCACAGGGGCACGTGCAACAGGTTACTACCTGTCCCCTCTCTACAGAACAGGCACAAACCTACACGCTACTAATCACGCCGGATTTCAAATGAAAGCGTAAGGAGGAGCTCCGGGAGGACGTGAGCCTGCCTTTACGTCCAGCGCCCAGGCGAGCGTGGAAGCTGGCAGCACCCAGGCTGCCAGCTGCGCCTGCACGGTGACAGCTCTCCCCACCTCAAGTTCTAGCCAAAACACGCAAGAAATTACATCTGTCAGGCTGGAAAACCTGCTTGTAAATTGTTTCCACCCTATCCCGAAAAAATCGCTAGTTGAGAATGACCGCTCTTACTTGCGGATCTCTTGCCTAATCCCAGCAAGTATTTGCCTCCTCTCATCCCTGAAACACACAGAATTTGCCAAATTTCAACTCAATTTTCAAATTAACAGTGAGGGCCCAGATGAGGTCTAAGACTAATCTAAAAGCACCCACTGACATTGTAGAGACCTGAAATAAAAATTAATATAAGCTAGGAGAGGAAAAATCGTATTTGTTTAAAAATACAGCACATATAGTGAGGGGAAAAAAAGGGCTGGGAGGATAAAGCCTTAGGGCATCTTTATCAACCCCACCAGAAGTCATCCACAGCTCTCCTCCTGTCTTTGGAGACAACCTGCAATTGCAGCCAGAAAACCTTTTGGAAGTTTGGCAACATAAATAAAATGCAAGAATGTTACTGTAAAATTAGAGAGAACGCCATTGTGGAATAGATATCTGAGGTTGCAAAGTAATTATTATTTAGAGGTTTCCATTCATGAAATGTCAAAGGAATATCCAGACAAACCCATTCTGACTAGAGGAATTTAAGCCAAATATGGTATTAAAAATTTTACTCTTCTGCTCTCTGAGATTAACTAAGGCACAAAAAAAAAAAAAAAAAGACCCACTGACTCATATTAATGATACTATACTTCAGAAAACTCTCTGGACATACCCTCAACCTCTATTTTATGTTTATTTGAAAATAACTTCACTAGGAGATAATTTTTGCATTAAAGTTTTTAGTTTCAAAAATCATGCTGGCATGTTGGGAATTTTTTTTGGTAACAATACTGTTAGTCTGAGTGCTCTGAAATTTTAAGAGTCAGGTCTCAGGCACCCCTTCTACTTGTAAGAGTTTCTTCCTCACTAACAGGCACAGGCTGAATCAGACATGTCATGCAATAGTGAAGAACTTCAAGCTGATTTTAAATCTATTCCTCTACATGCGGTGAGTTGACATTTACAATTTTCTCTTAAAAACCCTTAAACTGCAATAATTCAAGATTCAACAAGCAAAAGTGATGTGCTGAACTGAGGTTTCACATCATGGGTTAAACTGGGCACAAAACATTTAAAGATATTATCCAACTTACCCTAAAGGCAGTTCCTTCCTCTATAATTGTAGGTAATTGGGAAAGGCAAATATCAACGGCAAGGTCCCATGCTTGCCTAGAGAAAAAGGCGAAAGAGGAAAGAGAAGTCATTACAAGTTATCCATAAGTAAGTATCAAGGTAAATTCAAATTCTGATCATACAAGTATCTGGACAAAGCAGTGTCGACTGGCTTAGAAATGCTCAATATTCCCTTTTTTTTAAAGAAAAACAGATATAACACATGAAAACTATTCAGAGAAACAGTGGGAAGGTCCAGTCCAGCACCACTTCAGGCTGCCCAACAAAATGCAAGGTAAAAAGATCCCTAGCTGAAGTTCACAGAAGCTGCTCCTCTCTGTAACACAGAAAGAAGCCAGATTGAACTGAAGTCTTATTATATACCTGTCCTCATGCAAAAATGGCTAACTTTTTTTTTTAACTCAAAAAATTAACTCAATCCTGGATTAGCTCTGACCCATAATCCTTCAGCATACCCCTCTACATGCATCCAAAATGCCGCTTTGCTCTGCATTCAAGTCACATCAGCTCAGGAAGATGCAGTCCTGCCGATAAGCCCTCCAACGCACAGTTCACGGGCACACCTACACCACCACAGTAATTCTCCTTTTCCACATCCTCCACACAGATACTGTGTCACTGCACGTATCGCTGCGAAAAGGAACTCCATCGCCATTAATCTAACTCTGGGTCGGGTTTTGCGTGGCAACCTTGTTTACAAAGGTTGGATCTACATGACTCGCCCTGGAGATGGAGTGATGTACGCTAAACTAGAAGAAGAGAAAATATTTAAAGGTTTCCATTTTTACACTTATCTACTATTTAATGACTAAAGTATTGTGACTTACAACATTTTAGTGTTACAGTTATAACAGCCCATAAATCACGCACAGTGGCCAAGGCACCTGCTGTGGCTGATTCAGTGCAAACAAAATGTGCTAACAGTCTGCTTCAAAAAGCCCACAAATTAAGAGAGGCCCAAACTAAAATGAATGCATGTGGTCTCCAAAGTTCCTAAAACACCTCTAAAAAAGTCAAACACTTCCTTTTCGCCCCAGAAACAATTACCCCCACTCTATCCATAGATGTTCCATGCACTTTTCATTTTAACATATATGAATTTATGCACTCTGAAAGGCTAGTGAGTTAAACCACTGCCCGCTGGGTTTCTTACACGAAAGAAACTCATTTACTCTCCAGACACATTTGCTCTTCCATGGCTTGTGGCCATCATGTGTTAACATCAATAGGCTAAGCAATTTTTCTTCTCCTAGGAACATTTGCAGACATAAGGCCATGGGTGATAATCAATACAGTGCATTTTGGTTACCTGTTCTAATAAGTTCTTAAATCACCCTGTTTCGAGTCAAACAAAGCCTTCCATTAGAACAACTGCCGAGCAAAATCTATCCCATTAGCCTAACTGGCAGCTGTTCTCAACCGAAAACAATCTCTCCAATTAGATGGAAAAATAAACTATACGGCTCTTGCACTATTTTCTATGGATTCAAGAGATGCAGCTTGTTTTAGTTGTCCCAGACCTTGTCCCTCTGCTTCACAGCATCCACCTTCCACTTGACAATATGCTGCCAATATAATTAAGAGGTAATCAAGAGATAATCAAAACATGGGCAACAAATGCGTCCCACATGCTCAATAAAGACCCATGCTGGAGACAAAATGTTTACACAGAGCTGATGAGAGAGACATTTAGTCTTGGTTGAGGCAAAGGCAATTAGTACAAATATAAAGATAATTTTACTTCAAGCGAAGAATGAATATATCTGACTTTCAGGTTTCTCGGAGGAATGGGCAACACCAGCTAAAGAAGCGCTCTCAAACATTAGAAACTGTCAATATATAGTGCCTTTGAGGTAAGTTTTACTACATGGGAGAAAAATGCTTTAGAGATCAGAGACAACTAGTCTTATTTTGGCTGCCTATAAAAGGATTCTGCATAGGTCATTATACTGCAGAGGCACAGAGCTAAGACGCTGAGCTCCTCGAAGTCATTTTAGGTAAGAGGCACTAATACCACTATAAAAATGTCCAAAGCAGCCCTGCAAGGTCAAATCTCAAAGGTTTTAAGTGTTGTCAGAACGAACAAACGAAAATTTAAAAAGATGTTTTAACAGCTTAAAATAAAATCTCTTTTTACACCTCTAAAAACAGGCTATTAAAAATCAATATAGCCACATAGCCAATGTTACTCAACCTTTTAAAAGAGTAACCACCAGTATAAAAATCTTCACACTATTGCTCATCACAATCTAGAGAGCTGCTGATTCACATCAACTGTGTAAGAGACACTAATCAATTCAAACACTTAAAATGATTCTCCAGCCCTTCCGAACTAGCCCAACACACCTTCTGCTCTATCTCCACGGGAACCAGAAAACCTCCCCACCCAAGGAGACACGTGAACAAACAGCAGGTTTGCCTGAAGTAAAACTTTGCTATTTTCAACTACTAGAACAGCTACGTGTTACTTCGAGACTTCAGGTTGCACAACTCACAAACGAGCTGCCCCATAGTTAACTCACTGCGTCGGCAAAATAGACGATGGCATGAAAGGGGCATTACAATAATCAAAAGATTCAAAACAAGCCACAAAGGAATGGGAAAGGACTAACGGCACAGAGTATGTGAAGAGGAACAGAAGGGGAAAAACACTTGTTACAGTCATGGTGAAAATAACGGTTGTCGGTGTTGGGGAGGAGGAGCAGTGTTTGACTGTTTTAATATGCCAAAGGGAACTTGGAAGGTGGGCCATTTGTAGATATGCTCACTGAACTAATATTACACTGCAGCACACAAACAAGAGGTAAATCAGGGAGCAGCAGGGGAACAAGGATGGGTGGCGTTGCATCCTAGAAATGATTTATGAAAGCCAACCCAAGAGATTGCTCTCTCTCTCCCTTCTTTGCGGAGATTGCTGTTTGCAAAGCGCTTTGGAAGATTTGTTTTCACTACATTAGGTACAAAAAGAGCTGGGTGATACCTCAGCATCGTTCCTTCCTTATCGCGCCCTTCCATAAGCCCCGGACCCCTCGCTGTGACAACACGACACTACGATGCATCCGCTGGGCAATAACCTACTGAAATATCACAGTGTTTCAACTTCGCTACATCACGCTACTAAAGAATGTGTTAATGAGATTTTTTTTTTATACTATGTTGCCCTGATTTCTCTGTACATACAACAAATTGATAGAGCACTTGCTTAAGAAGACAGGACAACTCCCCTTTGAACACCCCAGTTAAGTTAGAAGTTATCATACACTTAACATAAGGTTTTATACACAGTCCTGCTACGTCTCCCCCAAAACGGCAATAAAAACAAGCAATCCCACACAGTGACTCATTTGTCCAAGTCCAAAGGATTTCCATCGTACACCACCTACCAGGAGGTGGCCATTTCTACGTGGTCTAAAACCAACGTGCACGAGGGAGTAACCTGAGAGAACCTGGAAAGAGGCACCACGGGAGGCGAGGCTCGCGTTACCCGCCAGTGGGACCACCAGCCCTCAAACCACAAGTTCAAAAGATTTTTTTATGCGATCAACCACACAGCACGGCTATACTCACGCTTGTTTGAGACCTGGCAACTTTGATAGTATCATGTTTCTAAAAGGGCAAAAGCCTTTTACAGTGCTCCGTGCTGTGCCGTGAAGCAATCTCATTAAAGAAAGGGATCAAACCTACAGACTGCCAACTATATTAGGATGGGGGATTCCTTAGGTTCAACTACTGAGAAAACATGCTTATTCTCATGCATCTCCCATAAATATTTCAGGATAAAGGTATACTAAATCCCCTCCTTAGCTGGAAGATTGACTCGGTTAACAAACAGGCAAGAAAGTGCTTTTGTTTATCCAGAGCAAGCAAAGCAACGCAGCATGCCAACGGAAACAGCCTGCAAGGGAAACAAGCCAACAGTGCCCTGCACCTCTGTCTGCACTGCTCAGTCAGTTCAACAAGGTACTCAACATACAAGATGTGAGCCATCATCCTGGGAATGGATACAGCATTCCAGACTATATGAAAATTAAAAGCGAAAAGGCATTGCTCCTCCATAATTCTACAATAAAAATTAAACAGGGAAAGA